AGCGCAAGTAATGCTCTGTGAAAAGCAGTCATGCGCCTTCTTTAGCTGTCCATCCTTCCTATTACATATCCCGAGAAAGGTAAGAGCCTCTTGTTCTTTTCCTTTATCTCCAATTTGTCTCGTTATCTTGAGTGCCTTTTGTAGAATTTGTCTAGCTTTCTTCAGATTTCCTAAGGTCTGGTGCAGGCATCCAAGATTCATCAAAACTGTCGCTTCACCACGTTTATCTCCAAGTTCTTGCATGAGAGAAATTCCTAAATTAAAGTTTTCAATACATTCATCAAGTCGACCACAACACATGTAGCAGAACCCAAAGCCTGCATGGATCGTGGCCTCATTGCTTTTATCTCCAGTTTCTTTTGCTATAGCAAGAGCTTTCTTTAGATATATCTCTCCTTGTTGAGGGTCTCCCAGACAAACGCATACATCGCTTAGACCATGATAGGCATTTGATTCGACTCTCTTATCCCCTACTGCCTGACTGCACTTAAGGGCTTTCTGATAACTATTCTTAGCTTCCTTTTTGTCGCCAATTGTGTTGTAAGACCCTCCCAGTGCAGTGAGGGCTCGGCCCATTTCAAATTTGAGTCCAGTTTCCTCTAGGATTTCTACCGCTTTAACCAGGTGTTTGATAGCGTCAGCGAACTGACCGAGCGAAGTGTAGCACAAGCCAAGACCGTGATGAGCTATTCCTAATGTTATTTTGTTTCCCCATTATCCCATAATTTCATGAGTTTTTTTGAAATACTCAAGTGCTTCCCTGTATTTACAGATTGCATGATAAGTAGTACCAATGTTGTTATAGGAAACGCCCAGACCGACTTCTTCTCCATGTTTCATCATCAATAGATNGGTAAGCATGAAGTCGTCCTTCCTTAGAGTTGGTCTGGAGGGACAATTTGAGGCAAGAGCGATCTCTCCCCTTTCTGCATCACCGTGGGCAGCAATGTGGATCAAACTGACTTCTCGAATCCGTCGGAGGACCTCTTTTTTGGTGGCTTTATCTCCTACAATAGCTACCACACCCAACAACTCTGAAATTTCCATTGCTTCCCTTCTGGCCCCTGGCAATGACGGCAACTCTGTTTGAGGAGGAACAGAGGGATCACCTACGATCAACGCCCCAGTTGCACTGTGATAGTCTACAGGACTGTCTTGGATCATCCTTAGTGCTGTCAGTGATGGAATCAGGCGAATGCGGAAGGTCTCTGACAGAAATTTGTCGTTGTTATCACATAATGCGCAAAATGGCACCAAAAAGTGTTTACCTTCCGGGATAATGATGATTTCTTGACGCTGAACAAGATCAGCAATAGGGGCGAAAATATCTTTGTACCACTGGTAAAGGCTAGAATCCTCCTTTTTTCCTTCTTGTTCATGTTCTTCTTCTTCTTCTTCTTCGAAGAGGCGCTGCTCGCGTTTGTCTTTTATTTCTTCCGACGATGGTTTTAATCCATAGTATGCTGACAATGAGCGATCTTCACATTCAGACACAGATTGTCCTCTTAGCAAACCCTTGAACAAGTCGATGACGTCCTCTACCACTTCACATTTCAAAGACTTGAATTTAATTTCTCCACCCTCCAAAACCCAGAAATATTTGTCCAGCTGATGCTTAGCCATGAAGAGGATCGTACTTTGATTCTTGATAGAAAGATCCCTGACACTATGCAGATAAAATTCGTGTGAATCGTGTCGTCTGATACCATATTTCTTGGACAGTAAGTCGCCAAGAGCTCGAGCACGTCCTCGCTCTAAGGTACACAACGCCTCAGCAAAACGTCCTTGACTGATACGAAGCGAACATAATTCGTAATAGCAAGTGAAGGTTATGTTGTCCAGAGAAAGTTTATGTTCGTCTTGAAGTAGGTCGCGGTTCCTTTCAGCGCAATTAATGCTCTGTGAAAAGTAATCATGCGCCTTCTTTAGTTCTCCCTCTCTCCTATTACAAATACCTAGAAAGGTAAGAGCCTCATATTCTTTTCCCTTGTCTCCAATACTTCTTGTAATCTTTAGGGCTTTCTGGAGGATTTTTCTTGCTTTCTTCAGTTTTCCAAGGGTCTCGTAAGCAGATCCAAGATTAATTAAATCTACAGCTTCGCCTCTTCTATCTTTCATTTCTTGTTTGATAGCAATCCCCAAATTAAAGTTCTCAATAGACTCTTCAAATCGACCCCAACACATGTAGCAGAACCCCAGACCGCCGTAGCTCATGGCTTCGCTGTATCTATCTCCAGTCTCCTTGGCTAGTGTAAGAGCCTTCTTCGTATACACCTCTCCGTCACCAAGGTTTCCCAGGCAAATACACGCATCTCCAAGGCCAAGGTAGGAAATTGTTTCATTTCTCCTATCCCCAATCGTCTGACCACACTTAATAGCTTTCTTAAAACTATTCATAGCTTCCTTTTTATGGCCAATTGCATTGTATGCGTTACCTAGAACACTATAGGCTCGACCTAGTTCGAATTTGTGTCCAGTTTCCTCTAGAAGTTTCACTGCTTCAACCTGGTGTTCGATAGCTTCTGCGAACTGACCGAGAGGAATATAGCAAAGGCCAAGGCTGTGATGGGCTAGTCCTAATTTCATTTTGTCTCCACATTTTTTCATAATTTCAAGAGATTTTTTGAAGTACTCCAGTGCGTCATTGTTCTGGGAGATCGCATGATATACATTGCCGATGTTATTATGGCTAACACCTATATCTACCTCGCCTCCATGCTCTGTCATCAGTTTCAGCGACTGGAAATGGCATTCTAGTGCTTTGCTATAATCCCCCTTCTCGTAATAAGTCAATCCAAGGTGTAGATACGAATATCCCTCTTCTCTGCATTCGCCAATTTCTTTGAATATTTCCAATGACCTTTCCAGGTATCTGATAGCTCCTGGGTAACGAGCGAGGTTTCTGTATCTGTCACCAAGCTCAACAAGTATTCCTCCTTCCATTTTTTTGTCACCGATCTCTCTGCAGAATTTCAGTGCGACATCGTGACATTCGATGGATCTATCCGGCTTACCCAGACTGTAATAAGAATGACCCATTTCTCTATAAGCTTCTATTTCCATCCTTTTTCTTCCAGTTTCCTTTGTGATTTGAACCAATTTTCGTAGAAAGAAAATCGACTGAGCATGTTGGCCCATTGAATGGTGCACTTTACTGATGTCTCTATATGCTCTTAGTTCCCAGTCTTTATTCCCATCTTCTTTACTGACTTCTAAAAGTCTTAGGTAGCTTTTCAATGCTTCCTTAAAATTATCTACAGCGAGGTACGAACGTGCTAGTTTGTAATGCAACAACATTTGGTGGAAATTACAAAATTCAACTTCGACTCCAAATTCGTTCAACAAGACTTGAGCCTCTTTGTACATATCAATAGCTTTGTGGTAGATATGACTATGGTGGAGGAAGTCTCCTGCCTCGCAAGCAATACGGAATTTCAAGGTCGTACCCCAATTCGACATCTGTGAGGTAAAGATGCTAGCATTAACGGTGAATCAATCAATGTTATCCGCATAAACATCGCTCAATACCGATAATTTTCAGATAGGTTTCAAAGTTAAAAATACTACTTATCCTTTTTTTTTCAAAACTTTCCCTTTCCTCTAAAGAAAATTAAATAAAAACAAGAAGTAAAAAGGGG